AGTAAATTCTAGATGATTCGATCCTTTGGCGAGAAATTCAGATAATTGGCGATATTTTTTTTTTTTTTTTTTTAATTTATTGGTTTCAAAGAAATCTTTAAGAACAGACCAATGCACTCAAAATTCATCACACAAATTCACCTTTTAAAACTTTGAAGAAAAAATGACTACTAGCAGTAAAGTAAGCAATGCTCTTTCCTCTCAACCTAAAGACAGAATTTATCTTTCCTTGTAGATCTTTGGATTTTATTTTTAATTTTTTTTTTTTGACATATTTTTCTATCTTCCCTCTAAAGAATATTGTCAATTTGCAAGAACGAGCAAGATAAAGTTTTAAGTACAGGTTTTTGAAAATGAACAAAAAATTTTTCTATTTTATAAGCAACCTTTAACACCAACGTAAGAAATTCGAAATAAAGAATTTTGTGCGGAAATGGTATTTCATTGGATAATGCTTCAATATAATATTGTAATTTTAAATAAAAAAATTTATGCAGGCGCATTGAATTTCAAACATTGTTTAACACACACCCCTCTTTAATAGGGCATGAAGCATTTGAACAAGTTGTCACGTTACGCCGACTCCGGGAGGTTTTACCCGAAGCTAGATGTGGGAATCTTTTAAAGGTAAATAATATTAAAAGATAATTGGCGAACGCGATACCATAATTAAAGTGGCTCCTCAGAATATCGCATTGGTCCAAGGAATTGATGTGATAGATGCTCAACTATTATTGGGTTAATGAAAGCAATGAAGGTGTCGATTGTTTCGATTAAAAAGAAAATCGTTGAACAATGTGAAAATCTTTTAAGATATACATCAAGGGAAATAATATTTGGAAATTGGTTAAAGCTGATAGGTATATGTTTTTTTTATTTCTAAATTTCAAATATAAAGGTATAGAAGCCAGATCTTACCTGTCTTCTCGACAAAACATTTTATCTTTTTCTTTTTGATAAGTCAATGATTATTTTGAATAATAAAAAAAAAAACTGTAAAGTGATAATTTAGGCCAAAGCATCTTTCTTTAAAAATGAGAAATTGCAAGTATAATAAAACTTTCAAAATATAAAATATCTTATTACTCAAATCTATGTATGTTGAATGGTTAAATTAAAAGAATAGTATTCATAGTTTTCTATTATCGTGGTCATAAGTTAATCTATAAATATAACGCCTAGAGGTATAAAGTAATTAAAGTAATTTATACAGCAACTCAACCAATGAAAACTAATGATTAAAATGGGCAATTAACTATTGTATCCATGTTTCGTTTACATCTCTTGTAGGGAAGATTTATAAAGTTGTTGAGATTTATAAAAAAAAAAAAAAATAAATGAATAAATTTCACGACCTATATATTCAAAATATTTATTTTTTTAAGATTTATATAACTATTGTTACATGTCTCTAACTTAAAAATGTTTCAAAGATCTTAAAAAACATTAAGCATCTCTCGATTAACTTTACGACTTTGCCACAATCTTTTTTTTCCTTTCACGTACTTTCTATGATAGATAACGCGTTTCTTATCAGGAGATTCACAATTACGCAGCTTATGATGTTGTCACTATAAATTAGCCGAACCTATTCCTTAATTTCGACCCGGGCCAATCATCATTACCATTTAACACTATTCTGAGTTATACAACAATTCAAATGTGGTGGAAAAGAATTCTAGATTTTTGGAAATCTGGACCCTAATTTGGTTTTGAACAATGAATTAACTTATTTTGTAAAAAATAAAATATTTAAAAATAAAAATTTCTTTAGTTCTTGTTATATAATTGAACACGAACCATGACACAATTGATGCCAGATGGCTACGTCTTTGACGTGAAGTTCAGCTGTTAATTGCCCTTTACGTTGTTGGCAGAGAAAAACCTGTTTTCATTCTTGAAAATTTCAGGATTTAAATAGGTTACAAAGGATTTTTAAGTTTTTAATATGTTGCTAAAAAAAAAGAGTTCCTGAGTCAATTCATTGATGGTTTGTTTTGACTGTAATTGAATGAACTAATCATTTTTAATTCAAAGAGCAAGTTTAGATCAAAATTGATCGGGTTCACAATCAATTGAGATTTCCCTTTTTCTTTTTCTTTCTTTTTTAAAGAAAAGTGCCAACTAAATGCGTACGTATACTATGCATTGCCTTGAAAGACTTTTTATTCTTTTTGACTGTGTGATAAATGTATGATTCCCTATAATGGATAAACGGCGGTCAAAAAAGTGCAAGTTTTTTTTTTTATTTGACACGACCGATTATTCATCACCGGAATTCTTTACCTAAATTGATTTTTTGAATTTACCAAGTTAAGATGGTTGCACTACGGATCTTTTTTTTTCTTTTCGTTACAATTGATTTGACAGATCGGAAATACCTTCCCGTGCATATTATTTTCCGTGGTCTTATCAACACTTTGTTGATTATATTTGGGTATGTACTTAATCGCAAATGATTTTTTTTTTTTTTTTATCAACATCAATGTTTGAACTTTATATTTCCCCACATGGCATCCTTTGCATTTATCATGTTCACTGTCATAATAAGAACGATGTCAATGGCATGAATCAGGGATCCTCAACTGACACCATAATCGCTTTGTTGTAAGGATTTAACGATGAAAGAATAATGAATAAAAATAATCCACAAAAAAAAAAAGATCACTTGTTTAACGCTTTAAGGAAAAGAAGGGTAATTGAATCCTTTGATTGGTAAAGAATTAAAGTACGCTGTGAATCGGTTGTCGAATTTTCTTTACTTTCTTCGATGGTACTAGTGAAATTCGGTACGTATGGATGGATTTTATTTATTTTTAAATCCCGCATTTTATTTATTTATTTATTTTTTATTACATACATGATACGATCTTTTTCATTGACCACAACCATGATGTTCGCAGATTTAAAACGGTTCTTTGCATGTGTAAGTTTATTTGTCACATAAGTGCATAACATAATCTCTTTTCAAAATAATAAGGATGTGTCAATTAATGCGGTGACACGAATCAAAATTTATGTTCAAATGAAAAATCTTTTAATAAAAAATAAACAGCGGATATTCCCTTGTCAAAAAGGAAGAGAGCGAAAAATCAACTTTGAAGATTAATATTTATACAATATATCACGCATCCCAATCAACTGTGACGGTTAACAAACGTGATGCAAAACGTGACCACCGAATCAGCGCGAATACTGATGATAAACAAAGAAACACTTGACCAAAGACCCCTTGTTAAGGAAGGGGTGGGAATACCCCTTGAGCTCTTATTATTGTTGAATGTTAAGGAGATTGTGTTAGTGAATGGTAGTATACAATTAGTATAATTTGTCTGTTAAAATGAAAAAAATTTCAGGATTTTTTTTGTTTCAACCTTTATTATTTTTTTTGATTATCATTGCAACACACTAAATTTAGTTAAAAAAAAAAATTTTTTTTTTTTTTGATCTCAATAATCTTGAAAATTGTAATTGTGTTTGTAATCATATAATTCATTCGATTTTCGTGGGTGGGTTAAAAATAAATCGATCGATCTTTTTAGAAGAAATGCATCTTTTTTTTTATTTTCAAACGAAAGATAAATTTAAATAGATGCAACCTCGACTTTACTTAAAAAATGAACAATTGAAATAATAAAAAAATAATACAATTAGTACTTATAAAAAGATAATCATTAAGGTTCGAATCGTTAATTAAAAAGAATTTGTTTGGTGACCAATCTGAAGATGTCAATTTATCAATAAAACGTGATTTTATTTTTTTTTTCTCTCAGACCCAAATTGATCACCATAGATGAAACAAGTAACCCAAGTTTTATAACAGGTCGTGCGTTTTAAATTTATTTATTTATTCTCTTTTTTATTTAAAATTTTTTATTTTTGGACTTTCACAGTCGAATAATAATTTAATTGCCAAAAACCTTCAAAAAAAAAATTTATTTATTGTTGTCACATTATGTAATCTACTAATTCTGTCTTTATTGAAAAGTTCAGGTTCCAATTTGAAAAAGCACCAGGGTTAATTTCGTTAGTAAATTGTTGTGCAACAGGGAAAGTAAAATTTTGAAAGTTTATTGAAACAACTAACTTTGTGAGAACAATTTATTATTGAGGAGAATTAAAAAGGGATTGTTTCTGAGCAATTTTTTTTGTACTTCCGTAAATAGAAAGGTTTTTATGACGCGTGACCTTAGGGTAATCAAACGTCATTTCAGCCTTACTTGAATGATCTTAGTTTAACATTGTAAATCAAACAACCTAGTCCATTATTTATCACAATGGGCGTGATAGATAGATGTGGAGACTACTTGGTAAAATTATTTTCGGTCTTTGATTGTTGTTTGGTTGTTAGTCGGCGTGAAATTATGTGACATGACACCGCATATTAAGCATACAGTTTACTTTTACTTTATTATAGGTATCCGTCTTTTTTTTTTTTAACTAGATTTAGTCAATAGTAATATAACAAAAATATATCTCGGTTTTTATTTTTTTCAAATTAAGGCAAAATGATATCAACACATAAATAAAAAAATAATTTTTTTTTATATTGACGTTAAAATAACTAGGAAAAAATAAATAAATAATGATTGCATTTTTTCCTATTTTTTTTTTTTTTTCAAGAAATTTTTTTACTATATAATCTTGGCTTCAAAAGCCTCACATTCCTTTTTCTCTTCATTTTATTTTTTTTCCTTTGCCTTGATTTTTTTTTCTAAACATCTAATAAACGAAATATCTTTTCTTTTTTGTTTAAATTTTTTTAACTAATCAAGTGTTTAAAGGAAAAAATAAAATAATTATTATTATTAACGAAACAAAAAATAAGAGTAAAAAAATTTTCTTTTCGACACGCGCTAAAGGGTTGAATAATAATCTTTTACACCGTTACCTAATTAATCTTTCCCTGAGAAACCATTTAACGAATTTTAATAATCCTAATATAATCCCTATTCTGTAATCCTGCTGATATCTTTTGTGCATGCGCCTTTCATAAATAAATGACCCCAGACATACTCGCTACTAACGACGAAGATAGAAGACCTCTCATGGTAACCGAAGACACGGATTTGGAATTTCCAACAAATTCTAGCATGGAAAGTTTAGGTATCATTGGACAACCGTTACAAGTTAATACTTCTTCCGCTAACACCTCAAATCCGTTTGCCTCATTTGATGATGTCTTTTATCATGGAAACAGTAAACCCGTTTCAAGGAATAATAGTTATAAAAGAGTAAATGATCATACTTATTTTCCAAGTGTGGGAGAATTATTATGGGAAGAAGGTCAAATGTATAGCGACGTAAGATTATCTTTCGAGGATCGTGGAACTTTAGCGGCAAGAGCCGGAATACCTACAGAATTACGTCTACACTCTCTCGTGTTATTCCAATCCCAATTCTTTAAGGAACAACTATCGGTAACTTCTGCGGCCGTACCTTCCTCTCCCTCTTCAAACATAATTAAGGAAAAACAAATTATCGTGCGATTACCTTCACGTATCACAGAAGAGGATATAATAAACTTTTATAGTACTTTAAAATTAATGTATACAAAGAATTGGGATGTTGAATTGGCAAATAATTTAACAAAAGGTGTTGGATGTTTGTCCGTATGTTGTGAAATAGGGTTTCATGAGGGGATTGAGGCTTGTTGGAAATGGTTGGTTAATAAATGCAATCGTGATAAGAATAAAGAGATGATGAGAAGGTTAATTGAAGCGTATCCGAATTTACATGAACAATTTTCAGAACCCGACGAGAAGATCAATCCAAATGTATTTGCTTCAATTCCTTATCAAAGCTCGAGTAAAAGTAAAAGAAATTCCCATGTTCATCATCGTTCTTCTCGTCGTTCAAATAAATCTCGTAGAAGAACAAATTCCAGTGGAAATGGCAACCTTAGTAACAGACAATCAGTTCCTCCAAAGATTAAATTATATCGTGGTGATGCCTCAATGTTAAACGATTCTTCGACCTCTCCGTGTGTGCCCTTTGAAAAAGTTTTACCCACTTTACCATCTCCACCTCTTTCAACTTCTCCTTCCCTTTCTCCAATATTATCCGATAATTCTCCTACAAAACCTTCTAATCCGACTACTTTCCCTCCCTTACCTCCCACCTCCCCACCTTCAATTTTCAATAACTCTCGTGTACTTAACACCTGGATAACGAATTTCGAGTCTTATGCTATATCATCAAAACGAGCATGTTCTAAAATGCAAATAGAATCAAGGCAAGATAGCAAATGTTTCCCATTCCTTGAACATTTCGTTTCAATATTTGATTCTATTAATCAATTGGGTAGAGCTAAGCGTATAAGTTCCCCCGAAGCTCTTGATTACACATTGCGCATGTTAAATGTAATCAAAATCGAGCATGCTCATTTTCACACTTTACATATGCCATCACAGAATAAACAACTGAAACCTTCCAAATCTTCCAAATCTCTCAAATCTCTCAACCGATCGCGTCCCACTTCACCATCTCCTTCATCACCGTCAGCAATGTCTGCATCAAATTCCAACAATACGCCTCCAATAGTACTTCATGAATCATTGGATGAACCGTTATCACAGATATTGAAAAATATTCTGGCTCCAAAAGAACAAAAACATTTATGCGATTTTTTATGGGCCCCTTCAAATATTTCAAATTTAATGCATTTAAGAGAAATAAGAAGTGATGATGAGGACAATATGGAAGAAGATGAATTCGAAGGGTATGATCAACTGATGGGTGAAATTAGCTTGGTAAAGGCTTCACGTGTAAGTAAAATTGAGCATATGGTTGTTGGTGAAAAAATGGCCAAATGTATGAGAGAAATTCGTTCAAATACCTCAAAGAATTATCGTTCTTCATGAAGGATTTTACGGTTTTTTTAAATAAAAAAAAAATTTTGAACTTTTTTTTTTCTTCTTTTTTTATCAATATTTTATTGTGTAATTTATTCTTAAAAAAAAAAAAAAAGTGTAAGCGGGTTATCTTCACTTTTTTTTTTTAATACCACCACTATCTTTAAAATTTTAATATTATTTGTTTCTTTCTTTTCTTTTTTTTTTTTAAAAAAAAAAAAAAAAAGAGACAAAGAACAAGAAAATTCACGTCACTTATTATTATCTTTTTTTGTAAACAAAAATATATATATATTATTTTACTTATTGTTTATAGTTTTTTAGATTATTTCTCATTAATTTCATCTTAATTTAGAACCTGTTTACATAATTTCCGCAACACACTTAATAATTTTCTTATAAACCGATTGTGATTTGAAATTACTTATTTCTGGTGGGAAGAGAATAAGAAATGTCTCGTTTAAACTAATTCATTTAAGCATCGCCTTTATTTTGTAAAGCATGTGACATTTTTTTTTCAAAAGCAACGCGAACTTTTAAAAAATGCCTTACCTTTGTACAATGCATGATTGTAATAAAAATGATCGTGATTTTACTTAGCTTGCATATGAAAAAGCTAAAACAAATATATTTAACTATTTAAAAGTTGGTGACCAACTATGTCAAATAATATTGTTGAACCGGACCGAAATAAACTTTAAACAATTACCGATTTCTGATACAAATATAAACAAAAATCTTTGCTGAAATAGATGGTAATCAAACTAATAAAGGTAATTAATTATATTAGAATTTATTTTTATTGATTAGAAATTTCTTTATATACTACAATAGATATACGTGTATTAATTTAATTGTTTTGATTAGATTTTATCAATTCAAACTTTTAAAATTCTCTATAATATGCAAAGAAATAAAAACTTCCTTTATAATTAGATCCAGATAGTTTGATTGAAAAAACAAGAACCACGTTTATTAAAGAATTTGTAAATCCTAAAAAATATTTGAAAATGAAAAAGAAGGGATCTTCTTACTGGATTTAGATAATAAATTTGTTAATAATTTAAAATTGAAATTGTTAACAGTAAAGTTTTATCATCATCAAAGTAAAAATACTGAATTTTAATATTTTCATTAATGATATCATATATTACTTTTTTAAAAGTATAGGGGAAGTTTACTAGAAAAATCAGACTATAGAAATTTTTTTGACTAAAATTAAGATTTTATTATATTTTAATCTAATAACATCAAAAACTAAAAATCAAAATTTGGTTAAAAAATAAAAATTTTTTTTTTTATAATTTAATTTATTTTATATTATTAATATTTATATAAAAAAAAAATATTATTTAATTTAATAATTATTATAATTTTTAACCTATTAGTTGAATCATAAATATTTTGCATTTTTTTTAAGAAACTTTGATATTGATAATCTTTAGTAGTATTTAAATATATATTATAATAGAACTTTTAATATAAGTGATAATATAATAATAATTATAAATATTTGATTTTAATATAAAAAAGTAAATATAAATATATTTTCTTTAAAATATATGTTAAACTAAAATTAAATACATTATATTATAATTAAATCTTAATGATATTTTTTGATAAAAAAGCAAAAATTTAAATATTGTACTGTTTTGAAATTAAGCAACCCCTGAAAATAAGTAACTCATCAATTAGTATAGATCTGAAAATAAGCAACTCATAAATTCCTGTAATTAAACATAATAATTAAATATAATAAACATTAAAAATAGTATTAAATTTATCATTAATAATATATTTTTATTATGAAATATTAATTAGTCTAAAGTATATTAATTAGTAATATTATTGTTATTCATTATCATTGTTATCACTATCATCACTATTATTATCATCGCCATCACTACCATCATCATTATTATTGCCATCATCATCATCATCGTCATCATCGTCACTAATTATATTATTATTAGAATCTTTATTATCATCATTCGATATGCCTAAAGAAGTCAAAATCTTATAAGTCTTAAAAGATTCTATAACTATTTCGTCTGAAATTCCTTCTCAAGCATGTTTAACCTATCTATAAATATCAGATAACCTAACACAGCGAAGGTTTCCTAACGTGATTACTCCTGTACCACCTCTTGCTATTCAGATATGTTATTCTTTATAAAAATTATCTTTAAATAGCTTATTAATTGTTACATCAAGTGGTTGACATATCCTAGTTAAACTACCTGAAATATCCGTCAAATTGATATCATTGTCACAAAACTTAGTTTTAACTGAATCTTCAAGATATTCTCAAAAGAATCGTATACCATCATTGTTGAAGTGTTATTAATTGTTAGATTATCATTAATGTAATCAACATATTTCTTCATTAAATCAGTATCTATCTATCCATTTTTTTGAAATCAAATAATGATATCGGATGAAATCTGTTCACTACGTGGTAATTGTTTACCTTTAAAGATACAAATTGTCAGAAATTTTATAACTTTTACAGAATAAAAATTAGATAAAAATAAAGCTAAAAGAAAAAAAAAATGTTAAACAAAACTTTACCTGTGATATATGTCAAGATAACCATGAATTGATTCTTTTCATTGCCAGTATTACAAATACAAATTGTTTTTTTACCTATAATATCGATTGTAAAGATTTCTGTCATATCAAACCAGACAGGAGTTTCGTTTATATTTAAAATTTTGGATAACTCAAATGATTTTTTAGTTTTAAAGTTGATAATAAACTAACAGAAATTTTCTAATAACTCAGCAGTTTGTGATAGAAACTTTTGTAAAACTTTAGTTTGATACCGCTAAGATAGATTAAATCTTTTCATAAATGCAAACATTTAATGATTTGATATTTTAAATTCATTTGTTAAATATCCATAAAGACTTATCATAGCAGATTCTTTTAAAATATCTAGCATCTTAACTCGCATAATAGTATATATAACACCTAAACCCTACTGTAACAGGATTGGATTGATGGACGTGATGCAGAAGGTTGCAGATCTAAATGTCAGATATATCAGACATAATTGATATATTTGATATATTTGATATA